CCTTCTCTCTCCCTTTTATTTCCCAATATTGCTCAGCTTAGTTCTGATCTCTCCTTCCTTGCTCTTCAACTTGAGCCCACAACCTAAGGATCCCAAGAGGTCACAGTCCACAGGCAAGATGCCCCAGGATCAAAAGGTGGGCAGCAGAGAAGGAACAAATCCCGGAGATAAAATGAGACCTTAACCACAGAAGGACACACCCAGGAGCTGTAGCAAGCAGATCTAGGGAGGAGGGCTCCCAAGTTCAGTGCTTATTTGCTGGCAGGAATCAATAACAGGATCACAAACAACTTGGCACCGTAAGTGAAATGGTCAGATATTAAGTCAGGCTTGCTTGTACTTTTCTCCTAATTAATAAAAGAAGACTGTCAGGGCGCCTGGGTGGCTCAGTCATTAAGCATCTGCCTTCAGCTCAGGTCATGGTCCTGGGGTCCTGGGATCGAGTCCCACATCGGGCTCCCTGCTCCGCAGGAAGCCTGCTTCTCCCTCTCCCACTCCCCCTGCTGTGTTCCTTCTCTCGCCGTGTCTCTCTCTGTCACATAAATAAATAAAATCTTAAAAAAGAAAAAAGAAAAGAAACAAAGACTGTCTGGTATTATAGAGCTATTAACTACAGAACCGCATAACTGACGAGTAGGGATTTTCAGGCTCCGTGCCAGATCTGAATCAGAACCATCAAGGATGATCATCCTGGTGCGGAACCCCTTGGCGGGGGAGGCACACAGAGTTTCTAGCCTAATAGCCCTAGCAGAAACACACACACACAGACACACACACACCCATCACTTATTAGTGTGTGACCTCGCTTTCCTTATCTGTAAGATAGAGATGATGCCTACCACACAGTATGAGTTTAAGGATTCTGCGTGTAAAGCACTTGCACATAATAGATTCTCAACAATAAGTACTGATGATAATAGCATGATGATTTTAACAAAATGTGATAAGTGCCATCCAATTTTACTGACATTCTGTCCAGCAAATTTCTCTCATTATTATAGTTAGGGGAAAAAATAAAGGTACTTCTATTTTTAATGGGTCTTGCTTTTTCAAAAGCAAGTCTTTAAGTATCCATTATAGAATCTGCTACTAAAATTTTAAAGAGGAGGGGGAATGTGGTTCCACTTCATAGAATAGGAACAAGGGGGAAAAAGAAATTTTCCCATCTTTAAAACGGAAGTTTCTTCATCCCAGTTATATTCACAGATATTGAAATAGAAAAGAACAAGACAGACACAAGACCTACTCTCACACTTTTTATAGACTAGTAGGAAAGAGACAACTTATAACAGAAATCACTGAAGTGTGCTAAGTGACCCTGCGTCCCAGGGGCCCTTCCTGGAGTGTCTGGAGTGTCATAGAGCTTTCCTGAGGAAGAGATGTCTGTACTGGGTAGACAAGAGAAATTCCAGAAGGAGGATGGGGAGGCACCCTCCAGGCAGAGGAAAGAGCCTAGGTAAACACCCTGAGCCCTGAGGTGGAAAGAAGGCTGGGGAAGGGAGGTGGAGTTGGGTGAGAGTCAGAAGAAAAGGCTTATGGGGGCATCTGGCTGGCTCAGTTGGTGGGGCATGTGACTCTTGATCTTAGGATTGTGAGTTCAAGCCCCACGCTGGGTGTGGAGATTACTTGAAAATAAAATCTTTGGGCGCCTGGGTGGCTCAGATGGTTAGGCGTCTGCCTTCGGCTCAGGTCGTGATCCCAGAGTCCTGGGATCGAGTCCCGCATCGGGCTCCCTGCTCCTTGGGAGCCTGCTTCTCCCTCTGCCTCTCTCTTGCTCTGTCTCCCATGAATAAATAAATAAAATCTTTAAAAAAAAAAAGAAAAGAAAATCTTTAATTTAAAAAAGGGGGGGCTCCTGGGGGGCTCAGTCAGTGAAGCATCTACTTTCAGCTCAGGTCATGATCCCTGGGATCGAGCCCCTTGTCCGGCTCCCTGCTGTTCTCCCTCTCCCTTGCCCCTCCCCCTACTTGTGATCTCTCTCTCTCTCTCTCTCTCTCTCTCAAATAAAATCTTTTTTAAAAATGTATTTGATAAGCCAAATACTGCCCTGGGAATATTAAATAATATATACCATTTACCTTCCTAAATACTCCAAAAATGAAATATTTCTATTCCCAGGGGTTTTCGATAAGGGGTTATGGAACTCTATTCCTTATTGATTTCTAAAACATTTTTGTAGATTAGGAAAAATAAACCCTTTTTCATAGATTTTGCCAGTTTTCCCCTTTTTTGTCATGTTCCAGTCTAGCTTATAGTACCATAGGGTGCTCGCTTCGGCAGCACATATACTAAAATTATAGTACCATAGGTTTTTTAATTACTAATTAATTCATGTCCATTGGGGGAAAAAAAAGCAAACACAGATTATGACAATGGGTCTTAATCCTTTCAAGTCAGTAAAGACTTTGAAAATCTGATTAAAGTAATGGGAAAGTTCCTCAGAAAATTTACATATAATTTTGCATATACTTTCAAGAGCTTTAATAGGCTTAGGAACCAGATTATGAACCTCTGCTTTCTCTGCTCTTCTAGGAACTTTCATCCTTTCCAAGGGATGATCCTTTTCAATCATCATCTATCCAAGACAGGCAAATACATACATGATGCACATCCACATCTCTATCTATTTACACATCTATACCTATATATAGCTTCAGCCCAGATCCATTTCCTGATTATCATATCTCCATATTCATCAGACTACTAATATCTCCACTCAAGTACTTCACTAACATCGAACTCAACATATCAAAAACTAAAATCATTTCCTCCTATGCCAAACTCATTCATTTCTTTAATTTTTAATGAATGGGACCACTAACCATTCAACTGAGTCAGCCAAAAATCTGGCCAGCAACCATGACATCCATCTCTGCTCTACCTTTAATTTTCTCTCTTCTCAAATTGGTATCTCTCAATTTTATCCACTTCTATCCATGCATTGCCTACAGCCTCCTAAATAGCCCTCCTGCCAGAGTTTTTATCCCCTCCAATCCGTGTTCAACCTCGCCACTTTTCTAAAATGCAAATCTGGTAACACTCGTTCACTTAAAACTCTTCAGTGACTCTCCACTGCTCTAGGGATAGTGTCCATACTCCTTAATATGGCTTACAAAGCCCTTTACCAACTGCAACCCACTTAATTCTTGCATGATCACCCTGTCTCTGATCCCTTCCCCCAGTCACTGTACTAGTGAATGTCACCATTTACCAAGTGGCTCAAGACAGAAGCCTGGCCTCTCTCCTTCCCTTCACCTTCTATATCTAATTAGTCGCCGTATCCTGCGGTTCCTACCTCCACCCTCAGCCAAGTTATCCTATTTTTCTCGCCGACTACTAATCTAGCCTTCTCTCATTGAGGACAGAAGAAAACAGATGGGTCTTGTGAAGAACCTGGCCAACCAGCCTTCATCATCTTTCTCCTTAATGAAACTGAAGTCAGGGTAGCAGAGAAGGGAGAAGAGCGTCACGGAGAGAGCAAGCAGCTCTAAGCCAATAAGCAAGGCTTTGCGTTCAATTTCAGGGGCACTCGTCCATGGCTCACCGGAATGAACTTCTAATGCTTTCAGGTCTTTACTAAGCAAAATGTCCCTCACTGCTGAGGCCATTTATTTCCGTTTTTGAGATTCTTTTGCTGAGCAACCACAGCTACATTGTCTTTAGAGTTGTCCCATTACTCTAAGATCCCTTCTTCCACCTGCCCGACAACGAAGGCACCTTTTAGGCAGCTTGTTTCAATCCTACTTCTCACTACTCAGCCTCTACTCATTAATTAACAGGTAGGAGAGTGGGGGACCCTGATTCCCATAACCCACCCAATACTTGGGAAACAGCATTTACTACAGGATCACAAGGAGTAGTCTCCACCCTCAGTCTGGCCTGTGGGGCCATTACCCTTCCTCTTCCAGAGACCATGTCTCTGTCAGCATCCCATCCTCATCTCCCAAACTGTCAAGAACTGTGAAGGGTCTGAGACTTCACCCTACTTGCAATCTAACAAGTTAGTCCGGCCAAGTTCTGTGGGTGCTGGCAGAAGACTGGAGATTCTAGGGTTGGACACAAAGGACTTTATTACTCACTGCAACAGCCAAAGTATCACTGTCTTGTTCTGGTTCCCAAGCCCCCATTCCAATAGGACAATCCAAGGAAAGGCCAGCTGATATGTATACATGCAGAGGGTGGCATTTCAGGGAGGAAGCCTGAGCAGAGGGAACCCAAATCTTTTATAATGTCCTTTGCTCCAGAAGGAGACACTCTCTTACTAAATAGCCTTCTATTTAATAGACCTGTTCCTAGTTCTGACTCTCAAGATTCTCTGTACAGCTAAACTTCTCTTCCATCTATCTCACAGGCCAGTCTATCCAACAGCAATTTAATGGATTTCAGAGAAGAGTGGGGATGAATTAAAGATTTCCGAGGAGAGGGCTAGGATAGGGCATCTGTATACCCCTCTAAACTAGTGATTCTCAACTTTTCCTGCCTGCAACTCACCAGAGATTCAGATATTAGACATCCACTTATCGGTGGTTCTCTACGGCGGGGGGGGGGGGGGGGGAACGTCCCTGGGGCAAAGCCAAATTTGAACACTAGTTGAACAAATTCAAAGTTAATTCCTCATATTCATTAATTTGCTTGAATACTAAAACTAAATAATTACAAATTATCCTCACCATCCCTATTTAATAGTGATGATATAAATTGACTCTTTGAAAATACCAAACTTTTATATATTACTTCACACCTCTAGACTAGAAAACACTTCAAAAGGCTAGTCCTTAAAAGTTAGGGCCAAAAATACTTACATTTTTTTAAAATAGCAAGACTTATTACAGGAAGCACGTTAAAATAGGTCTAGTTTTTTAAATTAGCAATACTTTTATGTTGAGAGACATGTTAAAATATACTTACTGCTTACTTGTCCATAGCAATCAATTCAGAAACTTAAATACTAGATCAATATTTAGCAATCGAGGAAAAAAAAATACTACTACATCAGCTGATTTTTCTTTGAATTTAATGAGTTTACATCAAAAAATTAGGTAGTCATTTTACATTTAAGGAATAAAAATCTTTAAAAAAAAATACAAAGAGTGAAAGGATTTTAACCAAGTTTACATTTCTTTTTGCTATAGTTTTTAACAATTCATCTCATCTTATTGCAATGTGCAAATGCATGTGCAGCACCCATTACAATCATGAAAATTAAATTTAAGGAAGTACATTGTTACTTAATAAGCCTCAGAGGAAACTGATTTACTTTCTTCTAAAAACTCTATGGTATATAAGCATTACATAATAATGCTATTTAACCACCTTTTGTCATAAGAACCATCACCAAAGTTTTCTGGAAATGAGTCCACATAAGAAATAAATATTTAAAAGGTGAAATGTTCCTTATTTGAACTTTAGCAAGATCTTTCTTTTTCATTGTTAAGAAATACTTAAATAGTTTTAAAGCAAAAGCTGTTAAGAGTAGAGCCTAGAGAGCTAAAACTGTACTCCTGAGTTCAAACTTACAGGTAAGTCTTTTGTAAATAGTTCTCAATAAAATATCCTCCCTCCCCAGCCCCCCTGCCCCAAATCCTGTATTGTTTCTTACAAAACTTTGGTCAAGAGTAGAAATAGATCCAGGCAGATGTATGTGCCATACAATAGCAAGAACTAGCCCAACTAATGACTTTGGGTTTTAGAAATAGAAGGCAATTAAAATGTACTCAAAGTTACATTAAGAAAAGCTTTCACAGGGTAATATTGAAACAGTCACAAAGGTTAAGAAAATACTGATATCAAAGTACAAATGACTACAATGTTAAAATAGACAAAAACTACTATACAAGAGCCTCTTTTAAAATTAAAAATAAAGAACACAACACATGAGTCAGGATTATGTTCCTGTTCTACTCATGAATTTTAGTCTTTATATTCATAGGGTTGGTTATGTTGACATCTAGTAGAGTTTCTTATGACAGCTGATGAGGTTTCATTCCAACTGCAGAGGGTGGTTCTTCCCCAAGGAGCCGCTCAGTTCTGGTCACATCTTGGTCACTGCACAATCTCGAAGTAGTGCAGTATCGCCATGATGTGCTGAGGCATGAAGACATAGCCTGTGTACAGGGCCATCCCCACAACGGAAACCAGCATGGAATCTGAGTTGTAGTTAAGCAAACAATTTACTTTCTCTTGATTCAAAAGTAAATGCCCCAGTTTTTTTCAACTGTTTCATGTTGAAGTACCCGTTCACTTAATGCTTTCTCATGTGTCAAAAACTAATATCATATCCACTAACATTAACTATGCCTGACACCATTCTAAGTTCTGTAGCCACAAAAAATTATGTAAACTCTAAGGGCTTTCTGGCTTTGCCGTCATGTAGCCATGTTCAAAGGAATAACCGCTTCTGGACTGGGACCACATTTTATTAATCCATTCCTTCACATCCTGTCTCTCTCTCTCCCCTGTCCCCGCTCCTATCTTCCAGACCTTTCGACTCTACACACTGGTAGTTCCGCAATGCGTGACATTCTTTCACAAGAAGACAGGGTTTAAATAAACAATGTGCTTACTACCAACTAATATTTGTATAACAGTTCAGTTGACAAACCTCTTTTATATATTATCTCGCTTGACCCTATCAGCTTTCCTGTGAAATGTTTTATCATGACCATTACTCATCAGAGCCTGACCAAACACTAAGTCCGGGGACCTACAGGAAGTTGTCTCTACAGCCAGAGCACAAACTGAAGCCATCTGACTTAAACCCCCAAACATGGATGAAAGTCTCCCATAATCATTTTTTACATTTACTTTTTAGCCTCCCTTAATCCAGGTCTTTCTAAAATTACCACCTTCTATTTACCCCTTAATTTCTTTACACACACACACACACACACTTACTGCTTCCATATCACTGCCCATCACACAACCATCTAAATTCTACCCCTGCGGGCTAGAGACACTGTTCTCGGGTCACCAGTGGCCACCTATCAAATCCAATGGCTATGTGAATTGACAGTTTTAGTCCTTCCTCTTCAAAACCCTTCCCACTCTGAGCTGAGAAGGTACTTTTCTCTAGGACCCTCCTCCCATCTCTCTCACCATTTTCCTGTGTCACTGGCTCTTTTTCCCTATCTGTCCCTCATATGTAAGATAATTAGAGTGAATTTTGTGCTTTTGTCCCAAACACTCACTCCACCCCTCCACCCAGTATGACAGTCACACTCTTTAGATGGGCCTAACCTATCGCATCTCCAGCCCTGACTGATTGTAACCAATCAGAAAACCCTTCTCTTTTTAACAATGCCCCCCCCCAAAACCGATCAACCAGCTCCAAGTTTAGTACTTCTACCAGGAATTAAGGAACACAGATTCTCTCCCTCTCCTTCCGAATATGCAGCTTGATGATGAAATCCTGGAATCACCAGAGTCACTTTGCCTTCATTGAAAAAAACAAAACTTAGAACAAAACTGACACATGAAGGTGGTAGAACAAAAGTAATCACAGAAAAACGGAGCCAGAAACCTCACCCAAACACCTGAAACCCACCTCACCACTGGGTTTTCAGATACAGAAGCCAATAAACCTCCTTTACTCGTAAACCAGTTTTAAATTTTGTTATGCTTGTAGCCGAAAGCATTCTAAATGACAAAATGGAATCCCCAATGTTCTGTCTTGGGCCCTACAAACTCTTGTAGCCTAAACAATGACCTTAACGTCGTTGACCTGGACCCACCTTCTGTACTGCAGACAAGTATTTCCTACAGCTTCCTCAACATTTTCACCTATGACATTCCTGAGGTACTTTAAATTCAAGAGTCAAAACTGAACTCATTAACTTTCTCCAAAACTACCTCTTTCTAGGAGTCTTATTTTTTCAACTATCTGAAATAGTTGATGTAACTACTGATCCACTATTTGCCTTGTCACTCAATCTCGAAACGTCTTTGATTCCTCCTCCATAGATTCAAATTATCTAAGACTTCTCAGTTCTTCCCAACCCTGGCAAATGACTTTCCTATCTCATGTTCCCCTACCCTAATCAATGATAAATGAGTGAGGTAGTTATCGTTCCTTAATTATGTCCAAGCTCCCATCTTAGGCCTCTCGCCACTTTCCATGCCACTCTTTTTTACTAAAGTGATCCTTTTAAAATACATTAGGCTTCCCAATGCAATAGGACAGCGCCTGGAATTCTAAGCCAAACATCCAAGAATTTTCCCAATCTAGTCCAAAGTACCTTAGGTTGGAGACCATAAAAGTAGACAGAAATTGAGAGATCGGGACAGGGATTCTTGTACAAGGGAGTTTTAGCAGAAGAGGAATAAGTAGAGCAGAACAGAGCAGGGAGAAAAAGGTAAGTAGGTTCAGGGGCTCAGCTCCCACAGGATGCTCTGCAGCCTGAATTATACCACATGTTGATTTTGCTTTGAGGCGAGAGGTCTGACTTTCTGTATCCCTTTATCTGTCAATCACTGGCTGAACTGAGTGAGAAAAACTCACCTGGGTAAGACAGCTGCCTTGGGCAAGGCCAGTACTCTGAAGAAGAGGGCAGCTAGGATGAGATGAGCAGACGACAGAGAGCAGGGGAGAGATACATCCGCTAGTAGAGGGGGTTGAGGAAGAGACCACGTGTATCACCTACTATACTACTTTCCCACTGTTAACTTTCAACACTGCAAATAATTCCCCTGACAAACACAACCTACTCAGAGCCATATTATGTGAGTCTCAGAAAACAATGCTTTATATTTTCATACTGCTCTGCTTTTGCTTATGGTTTAATAATAATATGAGTAAGAATAATAGTAGTAACCGTAGCTTTCATTCTGAGAATGTCCAGTGTGTGCCCAGCACTGTGTTAAATCCTTCAGCAAGTTCAAGTAATCCTGAATCTTGAAATCAGAGTAAGCAATAAAGCCAATTCCAAACCAAATCACTCAAACCAAAAATCTGTGTTCTTAACCACTATGCATAATACCTTCCTACATGTGAAAAATCCTATTCCTTTCAATAAAACCCATTCTTAGAGCTTGGTTAGCTATCCTCTCTCATATGAGGCCTTCCCTAGCTTTCATATTTTTCCCATTCCTACCCAGCCTCCTGGCCCTACTGCTCATAAAGCTCTTTATTCATATAATTTGGCCCTTATTACTTGACATTACCTATTTTTTTTTGTATCTCATAATCTCATCCAGATTATCAACTTCTTGAGCATAGGAACAATGTCTTCTCTTTTTTGTATCTCCAACATCTAAAATAACACATGCTTAATAAATATTTAATGAATGATGAAATTCCTCAAGAAACATTTGATTCTAGATTCGTTGTGGCACTTTCTACACATTTCACATTACGGTGATGAAAAACTTTATAGTGACTACAGAAAGAAAAACAAAATCCATTTCTAGGCAATATTGTATTTTCAGAATGTTTTTAAGGTTTTTTACACTTTTATTTAAGTCTTATAAATGTACACACTGGGGCGTCTGGGTGGTTCAGTCAGTTGAGCATCTGACTCTTGATTTTGGCTCAGGTCATGATGTCTGGGTCATGGGATCGAGCCAGAGTCTGCTCTGTGCTCAGCAGGGAGCCTGCTGGAGATTCTCTTTCTCCCTCCCCCTCTGCCCCTCCCCCTCTCTCTACTAAATAAATAAGTAAACACTATAATTCTGCCTTCCATTCAGGTCATGACCTTGGGATCCTTAGGATGGAGCCCTGAATCAGTCTCCCTGCTCAGCAGGGAGGCTGCTTCTCCCTCTCCCTTTGCCCCTCCCCCTGCTCATGCTCGCTCTCTCTCTCTCTCTCTCTCTCTGATAAATAAATAAAATCTTTATAAAAAAATCATAAGGTACTAGAGTTCATGACTTTATATGGCATTATGCTGTGATGCATATATATGTGGAATAAAAGCAGTAGGAAATAAATGATAATAATATATGCTAAATTCAGGATGGTTAGTTGGTGAGGTGAAATGGGGAGAGGAAGAAAGGAGAACTAACTGAGAAGGGGCATAAATGAAACTTCAAATGTATTAGTAATGCTTTTCTTCACCTAGTTGGTAGTATATGCACATTCGCTATATTATTCTTTATGGAGTTTTTGTATGCCTGAATATTCAGTAACTTTTTTTTTTAATAAGAACTGTAAAGGAAAATTAAACCACATACAGTACTAGACTAAAAACTATTTTGTGTGAAGGATTCTCCCCCTTTACAAAATATGAGTTGGACATCATTGGGTCTAATTTGTTACTAAGAAACAAACATAAAGTCTCAGCTCTCAGAAACAGAATAAAGAATTCTTGATTCTGGCCAAGATAAAGAGAAAATTATTGAAAGTCACTTGAACCTAGATGCAAAAATGCCAATTTATAAGCTGCTCAAAAAAAATATTTAATAAAAAAACTTAACCTAACCTTTTACTCATAGCCACTTACTAAATTTAACTTTACCTGTCTCTCCAAAAAAATGTTTCTATATTCTGATCCCATTTCTCCAAATTATTTCCAGAATCACAATAATTAAGTAAGCCTCTAACAGTAAGTTTTCTGTACAATTAAATGGCAAAATTACCTCCAAAAATTATCTTAAAGCTCTGAAACCAACTTAACTATACAGTAGGTGAGTAAGTAGACACTGGGACCATGAGGAACTTCTACTAGCCTTAATAATCACCTTTCCAAAAAATGCAAAAAGAAAGCACCTTTTATAAGTAGCTTTCTACAAATGCAATTTAAGCAATGTAGTTGAAATAGCTCCCATGTAATTCAGTTGAATATTCCCTGAGTTTATGCTTGGCACCACTTAAAATAGTTTTATTGACACTCTTAGGCACTGGTTTTATTGTGACATTTGCAAGGTTTATCTCCTTAGAAGTGTTCTCACAACCAGAGCTAAACATATACCATTTAGAGTATATACTACCTATAATTTTCTCTGGTACTTGAGTGGATTTCTCAATCCACTGCATTCTTGAACACACCTCTCAAAGTTTCACACACTGGGAAGTACAAGAAATGGGTACTGGAAACACCACAGCCCTGGTTTGAGTTGTGACTCTGCCAATCCCTGATTGTGTGAAAACTCTCAGATCACCAGTCTCCTTATCTATAAAATAAGGACACACATCACCTACCCTTCAGGGCTGACG